ATTAACAGCTGGAAGTGCTTAAGCAGCGCATAAAAATGCATTTATCACCTTGCTCGGCGCTCTGGTGCCGCCACTTTTGTATTCTGCTTTATTATCTGCATTTAAATACAATAAATCGTGCAGTGAAATGCTTTGTTTTGGTGCACTTTTGTCTTGAAACAAAAGCTTCGCGATCCATTCACTACAATTGTTATTACCGTTGCGCGCGGTGCGGCAAGTAGTTTCGGGGCATGGAGGCAGCTAGCAATGCATACAAAGTGGAGCCCAAGCCAAATGTGTTGCAATAGTGCCAACTGTCAGCACCGCCACGCTTCATTCCAGCTATTACAGCAACAACAACAATGATAATAACAACACTACAAAAGCAGTGTGTGTGTATGTGCTTTTTGTGTGCTGTATGTTGTGTGTTGTGTCTCTGCTTGGCATGCTTTGGGGCTGCACTTTATGTGTACGCGTGGCTATTTTTAGAAAAATTATGTTGTATTTCAAAAGCAATCATAAAAACTAAACTAAATCATTTTGTAAAATATTAAAAAAAAAAAACTCCCCCTCCGTATGAGTAAAAATAGCGAATGCCGACAAAGGTCTGTATGTATGCTTATAAATTTTCGTGTAAAAGAAGGGAGAAAGTGGAAAAATAGAAAAAATCATCATACCGCGTGTTGTGCGTTCGATTAAGAACACGCTGCTTACTTTATTCATATCCTATATATACGTAGATTTTACGCAAGAAGCATCGCTGAGTTTGCTCTTCGAAAAAGCTTTTTGTCCGATACATACATAGCATACATATAGATTTTAAATTTTCATAAATTACAACAAGCATGAAAATATTCATTTTGTTGTCATTTGATGTTTTCGTCTTTTATTCAATTTGTTGTTGTTGCTTTTGGCTATACATTTCCTTTGTCAGTCTGCTACTCGTACGCATGCCTGTGTGTGAAGGGCGTCATTGTCGTCTGTCTTGTCACATATTTTTCCTAATTTTTTTTCTTTTTTTTTCATTTTTTCTTCGACAAACAATGCCGAACATTTGGTAAGCAACAACGATTTACGTTAATTGAAAATGATTTTCCCCCTTCAAAATTTTTTGCCGCTGGAGAAAATGGAATTTGTGTCAGCGACAGTCAGACGGCGTAGGTGTTTGAAATAAAAGTGTTTCTTTGCGCTATGTGTGTGTGTGTATGTGTGTGTAGGTTTTGGTATGTATTCTAATTAAATTAAGCTTCTGGAAATTTTCAATAAGACTTATTAAAACGAAATGGCTTTCAAATGAGAGTTTATTGTTATGTTTTTTATTTTTATTTTCTTATTTTTTATTTTGAAAAATTTTAGGTAGCCACATCAAATGTATTGCCCCAATCATATTATGTATATGTACATATGTACATATGTATATTATAAGTATATGGACCTAAATATATAACATATACTATATATATATATATCTTTTAGTTTATTGTTTTTCAACTGTCAACAGAATTACAGCAAAATAAACGATTTTTCCACATCTAGTTTAAAAATAAAAACAACAATCATACAATAATTTTTTGGGAATAAATGTTGTCTACTGTTTTAAAGAGTCTACAATAAAATCACCAAAATTTGAGTTCATACTTATTTTCCATCTACACTACAACACCTAAATAACCACCTTGCGATTTTTTGTTAATTACAATTAGTTTGAAGTAATTTCCGTACAGTCTTTTTGCAAATATTTGACGGTATCGCGGCCATAACTTGACGGATGTCGGTATTTAAGTGTTCAAGAGCTAAATACGTCTTTCGCGTAATCTCCAAAAAAAAAACGTCCAACGGTGTCCATTCGCACGATCTAGGTAACGAGTTGACTTCCCGCCGACAAGAGAACCCTCTTGCTGAAACTATACTTTGTCCAGTTTCCGTTCTTCATTTTTAGTTCAAAAACAGTGCATTATCATAACGCTTCGAATTGACAACGATGGTCTCACTGTTGTCGTTTTCAAAGAAATAGAAGTAGAAGTCCAATCACAACTCCCTCCGAAAAGCATTAGCGAGTAAGATTTTACTGGTGTAATGGTCTCTCTTTAATCACTTGAGGATTCTCGGAGCCCCATGTGTGAAAATTTTGCTTCCTTACGTTTTCTTTAAATCATTTTGGTCTGTACAAGGCTTTACACCTATAGATGAGGTGCCTCCTCTTCTTCGCCCACTTGGCAACGTATGCAGCACTCCTTATATGGTATCCCTAGTCTACCGGCAATAGTCTGCCGATAAAACAATGATTTATTCGCACACCTATTAGAGGTCTTACATCATTTCTTTTGATACTCAGTAAACGACATAGGCAACCCACATTCAATGCTGGCCAGGTTTGCCTGTATATTGAGCAAGTGAGCGATAGATTCTAGCCGTATTCAGATATTTCTTTAATGTTTCTTTTAATTAAATGCTAACAAATAGTCGAAGATATATATATATTACCTCTTTGCCTGAATCTAATTGTGAAATGATGTCTGATCTAGCAAGTTCATCAGCCTCACAGTTAGCCCGGATATTCCAATATCCTGATATATTATTTTGTACGATGCAACCAGCAGTTCGAGACACCCTTGCACTATCTTTGGTTCTGAATGATTATTGTGATTTTAGAGCCTGACTTTCTTCGCACATCTAAATATTTTTTGTGTTAAGAACTGTCGTTGTCGGGGCCAGTTGTCTAGTTCCCATAATTCCATTCTTCTTCGGAAGTATAAAAAAAGATGTTGTTCTAACAGCATCACTAACACATATACTCGCCGCTCTTTCTATATTTTTTTACGCTTTACGTCTTATTAATTTTCTATTGGCTACCAAACCAATATATCGTAAGCCGAGATTGGCCTTGAATTTGTCGCCAATAGCCAATGTGTTACTCGAGATGTTAATCCCCACTATCCCTTTACATATTATATATGAAGTATCAGTGCAGGCTTTTTTATTCAATCATCTCAAAAAAGTTTCCACGAGAACCTCCTGTCCATTGTGAGTCCCAGGTAGCTCACATTTTCCACTAATTATAATATATATTTTTAGTACCTTTCACTATTGGTAAAGGGAAATCTGGTATACTATAGTTCCTTAAGAGCATCTGCAGTTTTTTGCTCGCGTTTAAGCTAAAGCCAAATGGTTGCGCTCAGCGATTTATTTAATATAACATTTTTTGCATACAATTAATGAGGGTATCCGTGAGTTGCTCTTAACTGAAGCAGCCACAAGGTCGACCGAAACTGTGACGATTTGTAACCACTTGAGCGATCTTCGACCCACCCTCTTCTCCAATTTATGGTATGCGTCTCGATGTCATTCCCAGTAACAGATGGACCTACAATTTATACTAAGCCGCCTCCCAACGGCTAATGGGTTTTTATGAGGAGCTTTTAGTTCATGTCAAAAATACACTTGGAATGCCTGAAATTCCCTGCGGAGGAGCATATTTTTTTGTTTAACTAGTATTTTTATTTATTTTATGTGGTGGTCGAAGCAGGACTCGAACCCTGGCCTTCCTAGTGCTAGTACGCAGCACTAACCACACGGCTATCGCCGCTGCTTGCGAATATGGATTTTTGATAGTTGTATTTGGTAAGGAGTGTGTCTTTGCTAAGTAGCACCTAATTGTAGGCAGTAGTTTACTGCTTTGCCTACAATTGAGCTAACGCTGCGTAGATTTGGTGTAGCTTACTACTTTCTCGAAAATTTCTAAACAATTATTTTTAAACAACTTTATGCTTAAACTCCATTTTGTGCTAACTGATAGGTATTCATCAAAATTTTACCCTAAAACCCACTAACTATGATATTAAAATCGCATTTATAACCCAAATCAATATTTTCTGCTAAAATTTATTCAAAAGCAAATACAAAAAAATTAAATTAAATTAAAAATCGTCTGGAAAAGCTAGGCTAAGGCTGATTGAAAATGTATGTATGCTATGCCCGCTTCATTAACGAAATCAATATTTCCTAGGGCATAGCGTTAATACAAGGAAACATTATTTGGTTAGGAACACATTTTTCCAAAAACTGCCAGATGTAGAAGATTTTAACACCGTCAGCGCTAACACCAATAGCCAATACTCACAGCGTTTGGCAAAAACCACATGTGCCTAAATGTAGGCTACAATACAACACACAAATTTACGCCGAAACCCGTAAATACCGTAATCTAAGGCAATAAAAAGCATGCGCTGAAAATTCTCCTAAGCAGCAGGCGAATTGAATGGAAAATAATGAAAAAGAAAAGTAGTAAGGAAAAAATCAAAAAAAAAAAAAAAAACAAAGGAAGGAACAAACCAGAAATTAGTATTGAAAGAAATAAAGACTCCAAACATGGTCTACTGGCCATGCACTGACGCATGGCGACAACATGCGGCGTATATTGTAGAACTGGTTGCCTGTGCGGAGCCCGGCTGTGTGAAGCCGGAGCGAAAAGAAATTGAAACAAGCAAAGGAAAGAAAGCACCACAGCAGCAATAGTACATAATTGCATTCACTCAAGCATATTACGAATAGGAGCAGAAACCGTTCGAAACATGGCTTTGGCGGAGGGTCGAAACGGCAGCAATACAAAATCAATGAATCAGAACGGAAGTTGTAGGAAAATATATACAAACAATCAATAGGGTAAAATTATTGCCTTTCAACAACAGGCAAGCAGAAAGAAAAAGAAAATAAAACACAAGAAAAATAAGTAGAAAGACAAGAAGAAGAAAAGCAAAAGCTTGTAACGCCACAGAAGCGGCAGGCAATGAAGCAACGGAAACAGCCTCCCTCCACAGCGACAAAACGATAAAGATTAAGTCTCTGCGGGAGGAGTAAGTGGAGGCAAGTGAAGACACTTTGGGCGTGTGGGTGTGTTTTAGTGTAGCCAGTCAAAGAAATAGTGCAAATAAAAAAAGAAAGGAAGCGCAAATAGGAAATAGTTTCTGCAGTTCGTTAAGGAAACGGAATAAACATTGTACTCGTAATAAGAAGTAAGCGGAATGCGCATATTTATTGCGGCATTGTCAGTTGTAAACATTGAAGACATATTTAACCCGGGTACATATATATATATTTATATATATGAGTGTATACATATGTCTATAGTGAACTACTTTTAAGAAATTTAGTACAAAAGATGCTTATATACGCTCTTACATTATTATTTTTATTTCTCTTCTCATCATCACTTCATTCTTTTCTTTCTCTCTCTCTTTCTGTTATTACAGTACCTGCCAGAGTAGTTTGGGCGGCAGTCGGCAAGAGCGTCGATTTACTATGCGATTTAACACCACCAACGCCGCAGGATTCCGTAAAGCTGCTGTTGTGGTTCAAGGACTCCACCGGAATACCACTTTACAGGTAGTTGAAATCACTTAATCATTAGCTAACGAAGAGTGCCGCGAATGCATGAATGAGCCACACCATGCTCACTGGGTTATTTGTAAGCACAGTTATTTGTAGCAAGATTGCAGTACAGTTAGGAAAAGGTTTTCGTTTAAGTGCTTGGTTGGCTAAAGGCATACGCAAACGGTTAAAAGGTAACTGTGTTGGTCATAAATTTTAAAAGGAAATTGAAAACTCATCACGGCATTCCAGCGCCGATTGGCCTTGTGCCTTGTGCGCCTTCGCTTTCGCCCGCTCAGTGCTCGGCAATTGGCAATTGTAAGGGAATAAATGGCAAATGTAGGTGTTTTTTATGGGCTTGCCATTAATACATGCATATGTACATAGAAACACGTGTTGTCGCTTATTTGTTGCACATATTTTTAAAGGAATTCTTTAGGCTCTCGTTTGTGCTCTCACCGTGTTATGCTTTGTCAAATTTGTGTTTTTTTTTTGTTCCTTTCTGTTGTATTTGTTTTTGGCGCATTTGTCAACTCAAATGTTGAAAACGGTGATTGGCTCTCTGTGGTTGGTGGGCTCAGCAGCAGTTGTCACAGGCTTTGAGTTGCTCTTGCTATTATTGCTGCTAAATTCGAATCCTTTTTGCCCTTTCTTCGTTGGCGAGCGATACACACGCATTTGTAGGCAGAGTGGAGTTGGTTATACGAAGTTTGGACTTGTGTACATCTTTAAATACATATGCATAGCGAAGTCCTTGCATAACTTTGGGCACTAGCTAGCTCTTTGCGTCTTCTCATCCGTGCTCTTTGAGTAAACGAGTGGCGTCTGCGCAGCGTCAGGTGCCTACTATGGCGTCGGGTAAAGACCACATCTTAGACACGTTTCTGCATTTAGTTTTGGATTTGTTCCTGTTATACCTTTCAGGGATATAAAATGGTTCTTTGAGTTTGGTACGAAGTGTGTAAGTGCTATAAGGAGAAGAACTGAGGGATTTAGCCATGTCCGCCCGTCAATCTACAGATGACTCGTACATTTAAATGATCATTTGTCGGACATGGCCATATCGGATGCATATAGCACATATACTATTGATCTTACAGATTTGAGATTTTAGTTCATAAATCCGCCAAGAGAGCAACGAGCAACGGTAAAGATGTTTCCATTAGGACAGCAGCTCTATAAGCCTAGGTTAGACTCAGAGTGATTGGGTTTTTTTTCGGCCCAAATGCAAAACACTCCATCGTATCTTGAGAACCTCGACTTCGTTGTCAGCTTATAACGAAACATTTCATCTCCACAATAACTAGTGTAAGACTAAAGATGACATAACCTTTGAGCACTAAACTTCTTCACGGGTGGATCGAGAGCGGTTGCAGAGTGGTTTATGTAAGGCAGGCCAACATATACGCAGATAGTCAAGCCAGGTCGTTGTTCATGGTGAGCTTCAAAATATGGAAGGAATGCCTATTATATCTGTCTATGGCTTGCACTTGCTTTAAAGCTAAAAATCATATGACTACCGTGTCATGGCAGCATTGTTGGAAGCTACACACTGTTGAACTTGTGGGTCTGCTTTCTGTTTCCTGTTGTTGTTGTTGTAGCTACTCTGCGATCTTCTTAATAAATGCCGGCGGTCTGGTGCTGCAGGAGGACAAACCTCTTCCCTATTGTTTTGCATCAAGTAAAAACAAAATAAATTAGAAATGCTTGATCAAGCTCAATGTTAGCTCGGCGTATGCATTTGCGAGATCCTTCTGGCGTAAAGTAGATCGCAAAAGGTCTGGGAAACTCTAAGTCATTCCAATATCGAAACTCTCGCATTCGGTCAGAGTTCTGGCTTGGGATTATTCCTAACTATCACTGTATGTCTAGATTTTTAAACAGACAAATTGTCTTGTGTTGAAGACAAGGTGGAGTTTTGCTGACTAATATCCTTAATATATTAGTTAAAAAGTCAATGAACGATTGTAGTGGTCCATGGTATAGCAGCTACAACCGGAAAAACGATATTGCACTATTTTATTATAATAAAAAAGTCAGTGAACCTGAGGAAATTGTAGTAAAGTATTTAGCATATAAAGAGGAGAATCAAAGCTGTCTTTAAAGAGCGGCATATGTAAGTGGCAACTCTCTGCCTGAGCGAAGCAGCGCAAATTTGTTCTGATGGCTATCACGGTTTCCTGCAAAGAGCACTAGTAAGAGTACTCAGAGAGAGCGTCAGCATAATTGACGGCGTACGCAACAATTGGGTCTCTGTTACTCCACTACGAGAAAAAATTTTCTCAGAGATTTGGTGCAAAACGTCTCAAAATACATTTCCTGGGAGTACTGAAACCGCAAAACCCACCACAACGGCTAACTTTTGTTGAAGTTGAAATGTGATACTTACAGACTTTTGTTTACCCACAATGAAAAGGCCGGACTTGGCTGATCTTAGGCAAGAACATGCCAATTGCCGGCCAGCTCTCGAAACTGTTCTGTGAGAGAACTGTTCTGTGAGAAGTTTATTTCGAGTTTGGTTCCGGCCAACTGCACACCTTCACCATGTGGTTAAATGCTTTTAGATTATTTTTGTTTGGCTTCTGCTAAAGCATATCTACAGGAACAAGTCTGAAAGGATTGACGAATTGGTAGTCTATATTTTACAATTTATTCCTGAGTTACTGGCCGATTATTTTTTTCTGAATTTTAGGCGAATACCACAGTTACCGTTTCACTTTCCTCGCAGCAGGCTGGAAAGCAGTTTTCCAAACAACTTGCTAACGCTAAAATTCCTAAATAGAAAATCAAAAATATTTCAGCGTAAAAAGTTCGATCATGAAAGAGTTAAAATTTTGAAAATATTGAAATATGTATGCCTTGCTATTTACATTAAATACTAATTTTTATTCTCCTTCATTTATAGTTTGGATTCACGAGGTGGCAATATCAAATTAGCACCACACTCAGCCATAGCTAGCGACTTGGGCCAGCGTTTATTCTTTTCCATTGGTGATAATCTTAAGGATTCACGATTACAAATACGCGATGTGAAGCCAACCGATGGCGGCATTTACCGTTGTAGAATAGATTTTTTCAATTCGCCAACACGCAACTTTAGAATTAATTTAACATTAGTAGGTGAGTAATTGACAATGTTTATAATGTTTGAGCGAACAAACACACGCATAGACATACAAACCAAGAGGAATTTGCCGGATTTGCGAAAATGCGGGGCAGTAATTGTTCATTTCAACACAAATTAATTTTATTTCGCTAGCAATTAAACCCTCGAATTTTACTCTTCTTTTTGTATTTTTTTTTCTATATTTCTTTATCTTCCATTTTCTACCCGCGCTTGTGTGCTGACAGTGCCCCCAGAGGAGCCACGCATTTTCGATGCACAAGGCAAAGAGATTGCCCAAATGGCCGGACCATTTCGTGAGGGCTATGAGCTTTTTTTATGCTGTCAAGTGAAAGGAGGTAAGTGATTTGTAAATGTCAATCCTGTTTAAATCAACGCAAGCACATATATATGCACAGCATATAAATATCTTCACACATACCCATATACATAGTATATAATTTTATTTTCTAGATTGGGTATTTTGATTGGCCTGAGTATAATTCGGTGAAAGTAGCCACCAAGGCTCAATAACCTGTATTTCAGAGAGGGGCAACTTAGGAAGTAGTATTAGGCTCCTAACTAAAATGAGCTTCAGCTTATGCAGAAAAACAATTAAATCAATGAATTAAATAAAAAAATAATACAAATAAATTAAAGTAAAATAAAATAAAGTAAAATAAAATAAAATAAAATAAAATAAAATAAAATAAAATAAAATAAAATAAAATAAAATAAAATAAAATAAAATAAAATAAAATAAAATAAAATAAAATAAAATAAAATAAAATAAAATAAAATAAAATAAAATAAAATAAAATAAAATAAAATAAAATAAAATAAAATAAAATAAAATAAAATAAAATAAAATAAAATAAAATAAAATAAAATAAAATAAAATAAAATAAAATAAAATAAAATAAAATAAAATAAAATAAAATAAAATAAAATAAAATAAAATAAAATAAAATAAAATAAAATAAAATAAAATAAAATAAAATAAAATAAAATAAAATAAAATAAAATAAAATAAAATAAAATAAAATAAAATAAAATAAAATAAAATAAAATAAAATAAAATAAAATAAAATAAAATAAAATAAAATAAAATAAAATAAAATAAAATAAAATAAAATAAAATAAAATAAAATAAAATAAAATAAAATAAAATAAAATAAAATAAAATAAAATAAAATAAAATAAAATAAAATAAAATAAAATAAAATAAAATAAAATAAAATAAAATAAAATAAAATAAAATAAAATAAAATAAAATAAAATAAAATAAAATAAAATAAAATAAAATAAAATAAAATAAAATAAAATAAAATAAAATAAAATAAAATAAAATAAAATAAAATAAAATAAAATAAAATAAAATAAAATAAAATAAAATAAAATAAAATAAAATAAAATAAAATAAAATAAAATAAAATAAAATAAAATAAAATAAAATAAAATAAAATAAAATAAAATAAAATAAAATAAAATAAAATAAAATAAAATAAAATAAAATAAAATAAAATAAAATAAAATAAAATAAAATAAAATAAAATAAAATAAAATAAAATAAAATAAAATAAAATAAAATAAAATAAAATAAAATAAAATAAAATAAAATAAAATAAAATAAAATAAAATAAAATAAAATAAAATAAAATAAAATAAAATAAAATAAAATAAAATANAAAATAAAATATAATATAATATAATATAGTAAAACAAAATAAGAAAATTAAATTTAATTAAATTATACAAAATTTAACGAAATGAAATAAACTAAGCTAAATACAATTAATTGATTTTGAATTAACTTTAACGCAAAATTTACGAAATGGAAACGTTTGTGATGAATTAAATTAAATTAAATTAAATTAAATAAAATAAAATAAAATAATATACAATAAAATATAATATAATATAATATAGTAAAACAAAATAAGAAAATTAAATTTAATTAAATTATACAAAATTTAACGAAATGAAATAAACTAAGCTAAATACAATTAATTGATTTTGAATTAACTTTAACGCAAAATTTACGAAATGGAAACGTTTGTGATGAATTAAATTAAATTAAATTAAATTAAATAAAATAAAATAAAATAATATACAATAAAATATAATATAATATAATATAGTAAAACAAAATAAGAAAATTAAATTTAATTAAATTATACAAAATTTAACGAAATGAAATAAACTAAGCTAAATACAATTAATTGATTTTGAATTAACTTTAACGCAAAATTTACGAAATGGAAACGTTTGTGATGAATTAAATTAAATTAAATTAAATTAAATAAAATAAAATAAAATAATATACAATAAAATATAATATAATATAATATAGTAAAACAAAATAAGAAAATTAAATTTAATTAAATTATACAAAATTTAACGAAATGAAATAAACTAAGCTAAATACAATTAATTGATTTTGAATTAACTTTAACGCAAAATTTACGAAATGGAAACGTTTGTGATGAATGTCAATTAAGTTTGTTTATAAACTCATGAAGCGCAAATTCAAATTATTACCAAATGCCAAAAGAGTAATAGGATTTTTGAAGTGCACCACTCTAAGCATGCTTAAGAGTATTACCAAATAAGATTTCTGATAATAACTCTTGAGCAGCACAAAAAAACATATAAATAAAAAATAAAACTTTGCACTAATAATTCCTGGAAAATGTGATGCTACAAAAAGGAAGAGCAGCTAAAACACGCGAAATGCTATAAAGTAAAAATGCAGAGCAAATACTGGATTTGCTAAAAAATCATTGCATGCTGGCAAATACCGTTGCACGTGCACAATCGTAGCGGAAGATAGCGTAAATTTGTATATATGAATATTGATGACACATTGGCGTATACGCAATATTTTTGTTTATCAGCAACAACTCGCTGCTACTCAATTCAACGGTTGGTTTGACGTGTGTTGTAGCCGAGCAAGAAGAAGAAACAAGCGATGCATGTGTGTGATGCAAACAAGTAAACAAACAGCTGATGTCGCTGAATAATACACTTTCTTTTGCTGCTATTTTCTACTCTTCAACTGCTTCTCACTCTCAGAATGTGCTTGATTTTGATCAAAATATTTATATACATAACGGATGCAGTCAAACTTATGCATTTACTTATACTCGTGTGTGAGCTACTACAAGAAATATGTGTGCGCGATGGTGATGAACACGTATGGTCGATGGAAAAAATGTCAGCATAAATTAGATTTGGCTAAAATGGTATGACTTGGCTTCTGTGTAGAAGATGAAGAAAAAAAAAAACAGAAAAAAATATTGTCTTGGCCATGTTTGGCCATAAGCCAATACTACAGATGTCATCAATTCAGTAGCGTACGTACGCCAAGTCCTGTTGAACAGGAAATTCATATATAAATCTTACTTTTCGGTTAATACATACATACTTATATGTGGAAGAGACGTGGACTCAACTGATCATATTAAAAAAAAAATGCATATGTATGTACTCGTATATAAATTTATATATTTACTTTTGTACGTGCATATGTGTATGTAGATCCACACATGTATATATATATATATATTATGTGTAAACCACTTGTTAATGTTTTCTATGTGAAAAAATAGGTTAGCGAAAACAACTAAAACAACCGAAAGTAAAAGAAAAAATAAAAAATTCGTTAAGGTTTGTATGTTAGTTATTCCACGCATGAAACCCTTTCAAAGGAGAGTTTGCAATCATTGGCGCGTGGGTGCTACAAATATGTTGTACCCAGTGTGTGCGTGCGTGTGTGTGTGTGTGCCGTGTATAGTTGAATGCAATACTCTTTCAAGGACACGTACGAAACGAAAGTTTCCGACAGCAAAATAATTAAATTTACTCACATATATTTTCTGTATTTTTATGAATGTGTACATACAGCTACATACATATTAAAATATACATATGTATGTGTGTAAAGTTAGCGAATTCGAGAGTTCTAGGATTGCTTTCAATATAAGTTTTAGCAGGAAATCGCATAGTTTATTTTGAAGGAGTAGTGAGTAGCTTTCAGAGCATTAGAAAAAAAAAATGGTTGGAATTTGCGAAAAAAATAAATCGAAAAAAAATAGTAGTGAAATAAATTATTGAATAATAAATGACAAATAAAAATTTTAATAGAAATTTATAATGTATAGTAAAGAAATGTATTTTACCAAATCGTGCAAAGATAGGGTAGGATTCAGGTGAGGAAAATCTAGAATCAAAAAACAAGAAAATTTTTTCAAAAATTTTTGAGTATAAATTTCGGGCCGTAAACAATTTTAGAATAATTATTAATAATTCAAAAAAAATAAAATTTGTTTGAACTTTCTAAATATATTATACTCAACGAAAAATAGGTACATTTTTCCTTGCTTATCAAATTTACATTTTCTAAAGCGTAAGAAATAAATAAAAAAATTAAAAAAAGAAAAAAAGAACAATAAAACGAAGCATCTTAAAGAAAAGAAATACAAAACACAAAACATAACGTAAAGGGTGATTTTTTAAGAGCTCTAGGCAATTTGAAAAAAGCACATTTAACACAAATTTTGATCTTGAATGCGTCTCAAATGATCCATCCGCTTAGTTCAATTTTGGCATACTTTTTCCAACATTCCGGCCGGTATCTCACTAATAAATGCTTCAATATTGTCCTCCTCGTGCATTAAATGGCACGATCTAGGTGGCCAATTGACCAGTCCCGAATGTGAAATAAAATGTTCACCGGACTCGCTTCTCAATAAGTCCATTGTTACGCGTGGTGTGTGGCGTGTGGCACCGTTTTGTTGAAACCACATGTCATGTAATTCAAGCTCTTGCATTTTGAACAAAAAAAGTTTGATATCACCTCATAGTAGCGCTCACCATTCACAGTTACATTAAGATTCGCATCATCTTTGAAGAAGTACGGCCCAATGATGCCACCAACCCATAAACCGCAAAAGCTAAAATTCGCCAAAGTCGCGCGCTGAACTTTCTTAACAGAGCACACATTTTGATAATAAAATTCGTTTGTAAGACGATCCATGGTTAAATTATAGACTAAACTGAAGATGTTTCACAGTCATACAAAACACGAAACATGTGTCAGCTGGACGGACATATTCCATTAAGTTGAAATTTGGGGCTTTACAAAAATCGCGATAATTCATTGACTAAATTAAAAAAAAATCATATTTCTCAGGAGAGATCGCCTTAACTTGAAAAATATTAGGGTTGGCAACAATTTCTGGTAGGTGCGCCGCCAATTACATAAGAGTGAAAAAGCAGGAATCACGGACTGATCAGTGATCAGAATTCCACAAAGTTTGATATTTTTAATTCTCATTATTTCGTATGGAAAAGAGTTGTGTGAATATTAAAGACACTTATCAATATTGATTTGGAAGATTTGTAACGATTTCATTGATTACTAAGGTCTTACCAGCAAATACTGGCACTTGTCCAAAAAAGACTTATCTTCCACATATAACATTTTGTACTGTTTTGCGTACTTTTTCTCGTCTTTTTTATTTTAATTTTTTTTTTTTTTTGAAAGTCTCGTTTTCCGCGAGGGTGCAGGTTTTTGGTCAGCCTTCAGAGACTCTCACATATGAGGCGACTACCGGCTTTATAAACTCGATGTACTTGCAATCCATTTTTTTTTTTGCAAGTAAAAAATTCGATTTTTAGACCTTGCCAAATCATTCTACCAATATATTCGTCCCCATTAGAGTATAGGTTTAAATACACCGTTTGTTTTCCATGCCATGGTTACTTTTCCACGTAGCGCCAAACTACCTCTGCGAAGATCTCTGTGTGATTATCAAAGCTGTCAAGAGTACACTAACAACAATATAGTATAATGAACTGACGGCAGCAAGAACTTAGTGGTTGGCAGTGCCTACTAACTTTCGGTTCAGTTGGTCCAACCAACATCCAAAAGCCTTTCGCATGTATTTATGACATAATAAAATATTTCATAATAAAATTCCAACGACCATTCGGAGGAGGTTTAGAGAAAATCGCAGGTCCTCTATTTGGTTGTTGGAAAATCACCAAGGCGCACACCACAAATTAGAGGAATCTCTTGGCCGAAAATGGCTTCAGAGATTTCGAAACGCCAATTATTAAGTCTAATAAAAAGTAATCAATAATTTTATTTATCATAGTTAGAACTATTCGTGAATGGAGCTGGATGGTAATCACTAAGCGCGATCTCCGCACTATAAGGTGATGCATAGAAACCTCCCAAACCAAGCTCTCGTAGTTTTTGGCAAGGCAAGTCAATACCCCTCCTGTTGGCCAAAGCGGGACGCTTCTGAGCGTTTGCTAACTTTTCAGGATAGACGATCGCTTGCCAATCATACACACCTGATCTTCAATTACGCCTTGGAGGCTGTTTGTGCCGCCTCAATACCCTTCTATTACGACTGTTTTGGTTTGACGATGCTACATATATATAGATTTTACAACGTCATTAAATTTAGAAACGTATATTTATAGAAGCTAAAAATTTCACCCAAACTGTCGGCTACTTAAATTTCAATTCAACCACTCAATTAATCACACAAATTTAATATTTCCTTTTTATGTTTCCACTCACATTTCAGGTCGCCCAGCGCCTAAAGTCACCTGGTGGCGTGACGATGTCGAACTTAAGGGCACTAGTCACACGTCCGTCGAGGAGGGTGCCACTGTCATGGTGAATCAGCTGTTGATTGGCACGACGACGCGTGACTATTTCGGTGCGAAAATCGAGTGTCGGGCGCAAGGCACGAAACTAATAGCGCCGGTGGTGAAAGAAGTAACGGTACAAGTGCATTGTAAGTATAGCAACTGTTGGAAAATACAAATATTTTTATGTACATATCTATGTCTTGTTTCATTTGTAACTCGTTTTCATTTACTAAAACGTTATTAATTAATATTTCTTTTATTCATCTCTTCATCTTTTTCTACTTTTATTCCGCTCCGTACATCCGCAGTGAAACCGGTGCGCGTGAAAATCCTCACAGCCAATGACCTGCTCACCGCCGGTCAGCCTGTGCCTTTGCGCTGCGATTCGTGGGGCTCATATCCGGCGGCGAAGATTACATGGCTTTTGGACGGTGAGCCGATACGCAATGCGGAAGTGACTGTGCACAGTGACAGAGAGGTAAGAGACTGTGGTATTTTTCTCACATACACATATATATATATGTATTATTCATATTTTTATTTCCTAAATATTTTATTTAGTTTATATGCTGCATGCGCGTACTCTTATATATAAGTAAATGAGAAGAGAGTGTTATCTTGTGTAATTTAGTTCTCTCTTTAATGAATCACTCACAAAATTACTCGAAATTATTTCTTCTTCTTCATCATCATTGGCGTAGGCTATTGTAGCCGAATCTATTCATTTCCGTCCTTTGGTCAATTGGAAATTCCAAGTGAAGCCAGGTCGCTCTCCAACTGATTCCTCTAATAGAGTAGAGGTCTTCCCCGTCTTCTGCTTCCACCAGTGGGAGGGCTTTTATCCATACGGAAAACATGATCTAGCTGGCGGGGCCGCTGTTTCTTCAATCGCAGAACCATATAAATGTTATCCCATAATTGGTATTCACTGTAGCCAATGCGCGAACGGCCATAAACCGTTCGCAAAACTTTTCTCTGGAAGACTCCGAAGGACCACTCATATGTTGTCCACACCGACCACGCCTTTGCATCATATGGCGGCGATAGTAAAAGGTCTGTAGATTTTGGTTTTTATTCGAGGAAACTTAACTTTTCCATTCTCAACTCAGTCCAAAGCAACGCCTGATGACATAAATGAATCGTCGTTTGAGTTTCTAACTTACATTGTTGTTTGTGTTATTGATTTCAAGGTAGACAAAACTATGTATGACAGTAAAAATTTGGGTTTGTCATCGTTTACTCCCAGATCCATACGCTTCATTTTCTTATCCAGTCTGGGGAAAGCAGAACTTCTCTATTCAGCTCTGCAGCTCGCAATATCTTCTTCAGCATCAAATTGAAGAAATCACACGACAAACAGTCACCCTGTCTGAAACCTCCTTTGGTAGCTAACGGTTTGGAGAGGTCCTTGTCGATCCTGAAGGAGCTTTTGGTATTCCTTAAGGTTAGTTTACATTCCTGTATAAGTCGACCAATGGAAGGTGTTTTCCAACGTTTGATTGGGGAATCGGGCCCGCCGCCTGCTGATGGTACACTTTCACTGTCCCTCGAGGAGAAGTGCTCCCTCCATACATTCAGTATGCCATAAGCATCCGTCACTAAATAACCTGCTCCGGTCTTGAAACCTTCTGTAAATCCCCGTATCTTTTAATAGAACTTTTAGCATTCATCTTGTCTGCCAGCTTCTCAAGCTCTTTATACTCATGAATCTCGACCTCCTTCTTTTTTTGTCTGCAGATGCATCTTGCTTCCCTCTTCAGTCCTATTCCGCAGGTGCTGTGCCGCGACATGACCAATAGTTTCGTTTGCTCCTGTGCGTAGGGAGTTTGAAATACCGTCCCACAATTTCCTTATACCGAGTTGCTGATAAGTGCTCTCAGAGCGCTAGCATGCAGACGGCAGTCTGTTATGATTGCACTTTCCCAACGTCGAACTTTACTTGTGTTTGTTGACGGGCCTTCTTCGGTTCACAGAAGTGTATGTGTTCCTTCGTTGAGGCAAGATAGTGATCCGGACGATACGCACGTCTTAAACACTAGATACATGTCTTCTGTCAATCACAACATGATCGATTTGGTTGAAAGTTTTTCGACAGCCGGACAGAGGCAGCTGAGTAGCTTAATGAATTTTCTTGTGCTGGAATCTGTACAACAGCCATATTTCGGACCCCGACGAATTCAATCAGCCTGATAGTTTTTGGGGACGGCGGAATTTCCCAACACTTGTGCCAAAGACACGCTCTATGTCTACTCTGACGTTAAAGTCGCTAAGCAAGATTATCACATTGTGAGTACGCTCCAAGCGCCCTTAAAGAGTCAAAATGGTCATTGTAAATTTTTTTCGTCGGGGCGAAATTCAGCAGTATGTTAAAAAACTTGCATCGATGTGGATTGCTGCGAGACGTTCGGTATTAGTCCCAGTACTCGACGACGGAGACTCTCTCACCTCAAAGCCGCCAACAAACTCGCGCTCCTTCATATTACCGCTGTAGTAAGTGTCACAAGGACCAACCTTCTTTCGACCTTATCCCGTCCATTGCTCTTGCTGAACGGCAGTGATGTCAGCCTTTATTCCTACGAGGACATCAACCTGCTGAGCATCGGTACCTTCCCAATTAAGGGATTGGAATTAATTCGTTTGCATTGTTAGTCGCTTGCTTCAAGACGCCCGCATTTGAACTTAAGCGTACCCTTAACCAAATAAGTCGCCGTGGATCCGCTGAAGCTTCCGCTATTTAGGTTGTTTCGCAAGGCTTCACACGGGTGCACGACATGGCTGCAGGAGTATGAATTCAATATGTCTCCGCGCATTGACTACACCCTATTTCATCGCGACAATTTTTTAGTTTTGTATTTTGTTTAATATCATCTCGACATGGTTACGAAAATCATTGCCTACACTTAGGCGGACATAAAGTTAAAAAAAACACAAATGAAATCTAAAAGTAAAATTCATATATTAAGAACTTTTATTTATAGCGATATAGTTTAAATAATTGCTTGTGTGTGTGTAAGTGAGTACATCTAAATTGAAGACTAAAATTGGTCACAATTCCCTCTTTTGATGCTCCTTAAATCTTTGAAATTCTGATGTATTTTCCAACTAACTACTGCATGGCCATGTAGCTGCCGTTAGAGTGAAAACAAGTAGAAAAAATAAATAAAAACCGAAACTGAATTACAATAAAAATCTAGGAATGGCAGTAGATGCACTAAGGCCTTCCTATTCCAACTACCAACGGCAGCCTTCCGCCACTAATTTTCGAAAACAATTTCACCACAAACCACTATTGCTTGTTAAGTTTAGTAATGCGAAACTCAAAAGCTTTAAATAAAATGGATTTTCCTTTTGTTAACACAAGTAGACTTGTGCAGCTGGTAATAGAAGCAGCAGTAATTCCGCTTGACTACATGACTTCCATTCACTCACACACACACACTCACTCACACACAGCCAGTACATTAGTAATGAGCGCCAAGATGCATGCATACCTCATGCCACTCATTCGACCACTGGCTAGCCAAGAGTATGTAAGAAGTCACAAGCACATCTACTCGCATTACGCTCATTGCCATTACATCCTACAGCCGTTCACTCATTCAGTTCTTTTGTCAATTGTCAAATGCTGAAATTTGAAATGAACTGAAATGAATTCCCTCAGGGCAGGGTAGAGCAGAAAGAGGCAGAGGAAGGGAGAGAGTGAAGGAGAAGGGCAGTTGAAAGTTGTAGTTGAACAAGTACTATGACTTTTATCTAACTAAAATGTCTGATCCAGGCAGTAGCGAGAGTGGGATGAAAATAAAATGTGGATATTCGCTTTGGTTGAGCGTAACTAAGGGCTTCCGCTACGCAAACACTGCAGCTCAACGCCACAGTACAATCGTCGGTGCACTTGAAATGTACAATAGGGATCGCTGTGGCGCTTGAGTGGCGGAGATATGAACTATGTAGATGTATGTGCAGAATGCGGGGTGTGAGAGGCTGCGCTCAGATTCAGTCAAGGCCATTCGAATTACGAGCCTGATTTTTGGTATAAATTCACTTAATGCACTCGTATTGGGGATGTTTTTTTTTTGCAAATCAAATACAAAGGCAGGAAAACTTACACATCTACACATCTTTATACAAACACTCATGTACATAGTCCTTGGCTGAGGATATGACATTAAATTATTACGAAATAAAAAAGGGCAATTCAAGAATTCATTGTATTCAGCGGAGATTCTACCTTGAATGTGCAATCGAAATTTTATTGGTTTATTACGACCGAAAAATAGTCACTTATGCACTACAACAACATTGCTTTGGCCTCATGTCCCTTACCTCTTCCAACATCCAAATTGTGGAACAAATAAATCGCCGAGTACAGAACAGGACTCTGCAAATCCTTTCAAGCTTTAACAAGATCTTTCATAAATAACTGAAGAAGGGAAAGCACAAAGAGATTCCGATAAGAACCTTGGAGAGTATTCTTTAGTGGCATTTGTTGAAACTTTTGAGGAAACAAACTAGGAACAGTTCATTCAAGAGCTCCACTCTTCCAAACGATATTCATAAGCCAGTCAGTGAATGGACGAGCACCCAATTTTCGAAAAACCACAACCAACCCCGAATCTAGTAAGTCTCTTTCTAACATCAACAGCATTTTATGACGCAAAAGTATGGAATGTGCGACAAAATCATTTCAGAAATAGATGACCTCCTTTTTGCTGTCCCATGGCGTAATCTATGTGAAATCCGCAAATCTGTGCCATGGATATGTACCAAAACCAAGTCAATAAAAGAACGAGAGGTGGTTACGTTTATCCTAGACATTTTCGGAATATTAGACTCAGCTTATGTCTGTTGAAAAACTGTGTAAGGCTGCTCGAGTGCTATAAAGGCTGGAATATACCCTTCTTCAGCCTATCGGGGTAGCAACACATATACTCTAAGGCAAGTCTGTCCCATGACATCTTCTTCAAAGTAAAGCCAACATCATTTGCACCGAATATATAAAGAAGCACATCAAGAGAGGAGCCTCGAAAAATCCACTATGAACCTTGTGAAGTTTCTCCTGAGAAACAGCATCATCTTCGCTAAGATAGACAGCGCCTGTATCTTCTGGCATACCATAAATGACACCACTATAGTTGAAGGTGAAGCAGCCTTAATTTAGAAGCTGAATAGTATGGGTTGTGGTGTGTTAAATTCGTACCATAGCAACCCAGCAAAACCAAAATGGCCATTATGGACACCCAGAGGTAAAAGATATTTTTTTCAGAAAACTACTACTAAAGGTCATATAAATCACTCTCTCTACTCTTAGCGGTAGTTAAACTGGTCATTTTCTGCGGTATCATCGTGCGATAGACGAGACTCACAAAATTTTCCTTCTTGAGCAAGAAAAGAGCTCTACTGTAAGCTTCCTCAAAAGTAATGGAAACTCTCCACAATGCATTTCTTCTAGAGCTATACCGCAAACTGCAAGAGAGATAC